ATTCCACACTTCGGTGTCGGCCTTGCCCCAGGATGAGGACACACATAATGTAGGCCCTGAAGGCTCTGTGCGTGCCCCCGGCCCCTTCCCTGCCCCCATTTTACTGGTGAAGACCTGGTGTAGTGAGCAGAGCATCCCATTCCACCTACATAGGGGGCTGTAGGATGATGCCAAGGAACCAGGCAAAATGGGGTGCGATGCCATTGACTTAGGGGTGGTGGTGCCGTCTGATGCCTTTTGTGATATTGGAGCTCCCAGTGGTAGGCAACAGTCTGGCTTTAGCCAGGAGTTCGGTTGCGGGGCAGTTTTTACACTCCTCCCTGCTTGCCCCTATGCCTAGGGAATCTTCTTTTCATCTATGCTCCCCAGGCCCCTGACAGAGGGGAACTTCATCTTCATAGCCCATTAGCAGGGGGTCAAGGATCCAAGGAAGGAGCCCTTTAGTGCTCCTTGTGCTGATGGGGTTTGCGATGTGGCTTCCTGTCCCCCCAAGGAACTGAACCAGCAGCTGCCCCGTCGCTCCCCACTGAGCAGCACTCCCATGGTTGTGTCATTGTGGGCCCTGCCTGGGTTTGCACCAGTGACCTGGAGATGAAAGGTTCAGGGACCCATTCCCAGGGCACTTTGTTGGTTTGAGTGGTGCCCCTGTCAGATGTTTAAGGCTGGCCCATCAAGTAATCTGATCTGCTGGTAGTGACCCCTCTGGGCCTGTTTTGCAATCTAGGCCAGGTCAGAGGAGCTGCATTGCAGCCGATGTCAACAGCCCTTAGGCCTTGGACAAACTAGTTTTGCAAAGACTAAGCAGGGCAGAGGCCAGCTGCCTCAGGGGTTGGGGCCTTTGGCGGCTAGGTCAACAGTTCAGATCAGTCCTGTTGAGATGAAGAGCTGTTAGCACTGAATGATGGTGAGTTTGGTAGGTCTCAACATTATTTGTATTATAGTAGCATGTAGACCACCCATCTATGTTCCCCATTATGCTGGAGGCTGCACGGATCCATGGTGAGATGTCACTGCCCCAAAGAGCTCCTAGCCTATGGGCACAGAGAAAGGAAGGGACTGGACCTAAGTTGGTGGCATAGCTGGGAATAGAACCCAGGTGTCCTGGATCCCTGGGCAGTGCCCTGCTCTTGGGCCATGCTACCTCAGCCTAGCTTCACTAGACAGATGTACAAGGCATAAAACCCATCATGAAACTTGTCCCCAGTTGGGCAGTCCCAGCAGAGCGGCCTTGGCTGGATGGGCCATGGAGACTCAGCCCCCATCCCAGCTGAGATGTGGGAGGGGATTCTGCACTTGTTGCCTTGGCCTGGGTGTTTGGGGGAAGCAGATTCCAGGGGTTATTTGCTGACACCCTATTTTGCACTCTGTAACATGAGCATCCAACCCAGGAGTGCTTTGCTGGCTCAACCAATCAGGGAAGCCGAACCACACCATGTGATTTGGCTGATCAATCGTAGTCAAACTAGTCCAGCTAGAATATTGAGGGATGGGCTTGCAGGGGACCAGGTGGCACTAAGGAAAATCCAGTTATTTGGAGAAAGCTTTGATTGGCTGGCAGCTGCAGGGAACGAGGCAGAGTTATTCATTGCAACCTATTTGCTCAGCTGCAATCTGAGGATGGGGAAGGGGGGCTGACCTAGCTGTACCTGCTTTGTGAATATCTGGGCAACTTCATTCTCCCGCTGTGTCCATCGGGCTCCTAAATTCACTCAGATGGGGAAGTGAGCATGCAATTTAGTGACGAAAGCAGGGGACTTGGGAGTCAGGACTCCTGGGTTCTAACCCTGGCTGCGGCAGGGGAATGAGGTCTAGTGGGTGGGCGGGCTGGCTGGGAGTCAGGTAAAGATCCAGTTAATGGATTTTCCACAATGATGTAGCTCAGGTGCGAGCCAGCACCTGGGAGCCACCGATTTAGGAGAGGTGGCCTGAGCTTTCTGCAGTGTGGCTACTTTTCTGATTTATTTATTGCTGTAGCACCTGGGAGCCCCAGTCACGGGCTGGGAGCCCCAGTCACGGGCCGGGAGCCCCTGCACTAGGCGCTGTGCGAACAGAACAATAAAATGTTCTCTGCCCCAAGGAGCTGCCCATCTGAGTAGTAGGTAAGAGTCACCAAGTGCAGACGGACGGGGATCCCACAGAAGGAAATAGCGAGACTCTCATGCGCTGCTCATCCTGTGGTAGGATCCGAAAGCTGCATGCAGGAATTAGTGGGTGAGATTGGCTGATGCTACAGAGGAGGGTAGAGTTTCAGGCCAGAAGGGTCCATTAGAGCCTCTCTGTCACAGGCCATTCAATGTCACCAGTGACTCCTGTTTTGAGCCCAATGGCAATAGGTAGATGAAACCATTTTTGCCCTCAGGGGATGTGTGGCCATGAAAGTGCGGGGCACTTGGCCAAGCTGCGACGTTCGCTGCCCTGTGGCAGTGTCCACCCGGGACGTTCCTGTGCGGCAAGCTGGGGCGCTGGTGATTCACACCCTGGCTGGCCGTGCAGTAACTCACCCAAGTAGACAGATCCTAAATCCTTGTGCACCACAGGCAGAGAACTGGAGAGATTGAAATGCCACTGATGCCCGAGGCCCCTGTAGTGGCAGGGAGCTGATTTGGTGGGATATGCCCAGGTGATCCCAACAGGTGAGCCATGCCCCATGCTGCAAAGCAAGGCGAACCCCCCCCCAAGGTCCCAACCAATCTGAGCGGGGGTGGGTGGGAATTCCTTCTTGACACCCCATCAATAATGGTCCCTTCTGGCCTTCAAATCTATGACCCAAATGGGTGGGAGCTTCCTCCGCCACTGGACAGCAGAAATAATGTCCTGTACCCAAACCACGTGACTTAGCTGACCAGTGGTAACAAAGTCAGCCCAACTGGAATATTGTGGGACAGGGGTTTGCAGGGAACTGGGAGGGACTAAGGAAAATCTAGTCTTTGGAGGAAGCTGGGACTGGCTGTCTTGAGAGTCTCCAAAGCCCGTCAAATCTAGACCATCCCCATCCCCTGCTGGGGAAGTGGCTTGTGACTGATGCTCTGTGGGGAACCTGTTCCGCTAACCTTGTGTCCCATCCCCTTCCTGTGTTAGAAGTTGAAGGCATCCCCTTTTCCAGCAGGTGGGATGGTGCTAATGCATCGTCTGGGAGCATGGCATTCCTAGGTGGTTTTCATCTGGGGCAGATGGCTTTATACCCTGCGCAACTGGCAAGGATATTACATTTCGGTGCAAGCAGAGCGTTTGGTGATGGGACAACCCCTTCCCCCCTGCACTGAGGGTTTGAGGTTCTCCGGATTAGGAGGAGGTCAGGTGGCAGGATACCCCCATGAGGGCAGAATCAATTCTTTGCTCTGTTTTTTGAGCTCATGATTAATGATATTACCCAGACTGAGATCAGGGCCCTGCTGTGCTTGGGTGCTGGACAGATACAGAGACAGTTCCTGTCCCAAAGACCTCACAGTCTAAATAGACCAGAGATGTGAGGAGAAACCGAGGCCCAGCTCGAGGAGGTGACTTTACCACAGTAACACAGCGGGTCAGTAGCAGAGCCGGGAACAGAACCCAGCTGTCCTAAGACCCAGGCCAGTGCAGCCACTGCACCACATTGCTGCTCGATCACTTATTAATAACAGCAACGAATTCTGTGCGCTTATAGGACAGCACATTTTCATCCCTTGACCTCAAAGTGTGTTACAAAGGAAGGTCCATGGTCATTATCCCTATTTTACTGGTGGGGAAACTGAGGCGCAGATTGAGGAAGTGACTTACTCACAATTGCACAAAGAATCAGTGTTGGGGTCAGAATAGTGCCCAGTCTCCTGCTCTTACTGGCAGACACCACCTCCCCTCTGTGAGCTGGGCATAGAACCTAGAAGCCCTAACACTCAGCCCCCCTGCTTTACCCACTAGACACCACTGCCCTCACGGAGCCAGGGATCGAACCCAGGAGTTCTGCTGGATCACACTTTTCCAGCAAATTGTTTCTCCTCCCAGTGGACAACACAAATGTTTTGAACAGGAGAGTCACGAATGTCCCATTCGCAAACACCCTGCTCTCTGGAACAGGCCATCATCGGGGGGTAAAATCAGTGATGCTTTTGGCCTTCCTATTTTGCCACATGCCTGGTGCTTGGCCAGATGCTGGTGAGGAACATGTACTCCACAGTCTAGGCGCTCTCTAGGCTGGGGTGTGGCTCCCACTCCAACAACCGGCATAGCTGCACCAGTGCAGTTTGCTCTGGAAGAGCTCATGCCTGCTTCGGGGTCAGCTGCATCAGGCCGAGTGCCTTCACCTGTCTGCCCCAGGGCTGGAGTGGTCTAAGTCCTAGTCAGCTGAATTTGGCACTCTTCAGGGGTGACTTGATCCCAGTCGACAGGGGATCCAGGTCTAGCAGGCAAAGGTCTAACACAGGGGTGGGCAAACTTTTTGGTTTAGCAGGGCCACATCGGAGTTGTGAAACTCTGTGGAGGGCTGGGTAGGGAAGGCTGTGCCTCCCCAAACAGCCTGGCCCCCTGCCCCCTATCTGCCCCCTCCCACTGACCACCCCCCTCAGAACCCCCGACCTATCCAACCCCCCTGCTCCTTGTCCCCTGACCGCCCCCTCCCGGGACCCCCCCAACTGCTCCCCCCAGAACCTCCCCATCCAACCCCACTACTCCCTGTCCCCTGACTGCCCTGACCCCTATCCAACCCCCGCTCCCTGACAAGCCCTTCGAGACTCCCATGCCTATCCAACCCCCCCACCACTGCTCCCTGTGTCCCCTGAAAGTCACGACCCCTATCCACACCCCCGCCCACTGACAGGCCCTCTGGAACTCCAATGCCTATCTCACCCCCCCTGCTCCCTGTCCCCTGACTGCGCCCCAGAACCTCCTGCCCCTTATCCAACCTGCTGCTCGGAGGGGCAGTACTAGCAGCCGGGCTGCCCGGCCGGAGCCAGCCATGCTGCCTGCTCGGCGGCATGGCTGCGGGGGAGGGGCTGGGGGCTAGCCTCCCTGCCTTAGGTAGGTGCTCAAAGGCCTGGCAGGACGGTCCCGTGGGCTGTAGTTTGCCCATCTCTGGTCTAACAAGACCCAGTGATGGAAGTTGAAGCTGGATACATTGAGACTGGAATTAAGGTGCATGTTATTAGCAGTGAGGGTAATTAACCATCAAAGCGATTTACCAAGGGGCGTGGTGGGTTCTCCATCACTGGCAATTTCTAAATCAAGGTTGGACGTTGTTCTAAAAGATCCGCTCTAGTTCTAACAGGAATGATTGTGGGGAAGTTCAGTGGCCTCTGTTATGCAGAGGTCAGGCTAGAGGATCATTGGCCCTTCCGGTCTTGGGATGTATGAAAAATATTCCTGAATCAGAGCTTAAACCCTGACTAACTCTTGTTTGCAGACTGCTTAGAAATCCTCAAGTGGAAGAGGGGGTGGAAAACAACCTACTATTGTGGGGGTGTTGTGTCAGTCTCTTTGGAAGCATCACCTGTTGGCCCTGCTTCAGGTAGGATGGAGGACCAGCTGAGATCTCCTGGGACACAGCATGCGGTCCCTGCTGTCTCAGCAACCCCATCAGATAAGCCCATTCAGAAATTTAGCAAGCTCCCTCTTCACGCTAGTTAGGTCCTTTGCCCCCCACTGTCCTAAGGATACTGGTCCTGAACTGCCCTTCTTTGATGGTTAGTTCTCTGGCCTGTACTATACAGGAGGTCAGGTGAGGTGATCACAGTGGTCCCTTCTGGCCTTAGAATTTCTGGATCTGGGAACAAAGCCGCCTCGTTTCCACCAGTTTGACGAAAGGGGTTGAAAATGTTATTACAATCTAAGCAAAGAAAATCTCATTCCGCCCCCCACACTTCCTGACGGTTCAAGATCAAGTATTGTCTCTCCATGGCTCGAAACGCACACAAAGCATCAGTTATACAGGCCTAGCATTGTTTGCATTGATCCATTTTTTACTCTGAAAGTAAACGTGCTCATTTTTGATTCCGTTAAGGGGCTGCCGCACTGCAAAGGCTGAGAAACGCTGGCCTGGTGGCTGGGACAGTGGATTAGGGATCAGCAGACCTGCGTGCTCTGGGGTTGCCAGGCATATGGTTTTCGAAAAGGGACCCTGTAGGCTCCAGTCAGCACAGCTGGCCGGGCCGCTAAAAGTCTGGCTGGCCACAGCGGCCGGCTCTATGCGGCTCCCAGAAGCGGCTGGCGTGTCCCTCCAGCTCCTAGATGGAGGGGCAGCCAGGGGGGCGCCATGTGGTGCTCCTGCCTGCAGTCCAGGCACCACCCTGAGCACTGGCTCCGCAGCTCCCATTGGCTGGGAACCATGGCCAATGGGAACTGTGGGGGAGGCCCCTGCGAATGGGGGCAGTGCATGGGGGGCCCCCTGGTCACCTCTGCGCCTAGGAGCTAGAGGGACATGTCACTGCTTCCTGGGAGCTGCCTTAGGTAGGTGCTGCCCAGAGCCCACACCCCGAATGCACTCCGTGCCTTAGCCCTGAGACCTCTCCGACACCCAAACTCCCTCCCAGAGCCTGCACCCCCTCCCTCAGGGCTCAACCCCCAGGCCTGGGCCCCCTCCTGCACTCCAAACCCCTCGGCCCCAGCCCGGAACCCAAACCCTTCATCCCTGGCCCCACCCGAGACCCTGCACCCTCAGCCCAGAGCCCCCTCCCACACTCCAAACCCCTCAGCCCCAACCTGGAACTCCCTCCTGCACCCCAAGCCCCTCAGTCCCACCCCACAGCCCTAGCCGGAGCTCTCAGACCCTCCTGCACCCCTGCCCCAGCCTGGTGAAAATGAGTGAATGAGCGAGAGTGGGAGAGAGCAAGCGATGGAGGGAGAGGGCAGGGGCGGGGCCTTAGAGAAGGGGCAGGGCAAGGATGTTCAGTTTTCTGCAATCAGAAAGTTGGCAACCCTAAGCTCGGCCTGCTTGCTGATTGTGGGCAATTCACTTCCCCTGTCTGTGCTCAGTTTCTCCTGCTGTCCCTTGTCTGTTTAAACTGAAAGCTCTCTGGTTGGGGATTGTCTTTTTGTTCTCTGTTTGGATAGCTCCCAGCACATTCATCTGATGGGCTCCTAGGTGCTATTGTAATACACCTAATAAACGTACAGCGCCTAGCACAGTGTGGTCCTGGCCTAGATGCTATCATAATGCACCTAAATATATTGTACAGTACCTAACATAATGGGGTCCTGGCTCATAACTGGGGCTCTGAGATGCTACTGTAATACACCTAATAAATATTGTACAGTGCCTAGAGCACAGGGGTCCTGGCCCATGACTGAGGCTCCCAGGCGCGGCTGTAATACACATAATAATAATAATAATAATGGGGTCCTGATCTTTGTTGTGTGCTACCGTAATTGAGTGATAATGCTCCTTGCAAGCGCCTGATGGTTGGGCTCTTGGAAGGTTAATTTTCTCCTCCCTCACGTGCGGAAGTGCGAATCTGGGTTTTGTAGGTTGTGTGTGTGTGTGTTTAATCACAGCACAAAGCATTTATAGATTATTTACAGTAATGGTTTGTATCTGAGCGAATGCTTTACTAATTACAGTAATAAAAAAGGCTATAAAAAGCACATTCCCCGTGGAGGGATCTATGTGGAGGTCTTTCTTGGTTCACTTGTAACCAGGGCTACAATGAAATCACTCATCTGAGTTACAGCACAGAAAGAATTCTGGTACAAAATAGGCTGCCTGGGGATGTAAGATTGGGATACGAGGCCTTTCTCCTCTAGGGGGCGACGGCTCCGATCTGGCCCCAGAGTGGGGGGACTGGCTGGTTCAGAGGAGATAGGCTCCATATCCCATTACCCCATTTCCTCTAGGGGGCACCAGTTCCAATCTGGCCCCAGGCTGCTGGTGGGGGGCGGAGGGATGGCTTGGGAGATCAGGGAATGGAATATGGGGCTTTTTTCCTCGGGGCACGGGGGAAGAGGATGGACTGGTTGTGTTCCAGATGCAGGGTTGGGGGATTGACTAGCTCAAGGGGGTGGGTAATGGGATATGGGGCCTTTCCTGTTGGGAATACTGGCTCCTATCTGCCTCAGGGTCAAGGGACTGGTTGGTTTAGGAGAGACTGGGGAATGGGATATGGGGCCTTTCACCTGTAGGGTCCCCAGTTCCAATCCAGGTCATTGGCATCAGATGCTCGAGGGTGCTCAGTATAGAGCACATGTTAAAATCTGGCCCAGGTCAGGACCCTGCTGGCTCAAGGGGACGGTGCTGCCTTTCACCTTGAGGTTGTAGGTTTGAATCAGGTTCCTGGCCAGGAGGACTGGGTAGCTTGGGCTGGAATCTTTGACCCTGAGGGCGCCAGCTCCCATCTGCCTGGGTCAGCGGGGATGACCCATCCACAGCGGCCTCTGTCAGGCGAGTTTGCTTGGTCTTGCGCTGACTCGGAGTGGGACCAAGCTGTGCGTGTGCCCAAAGCTGCCACTATAGCTGGTCCTCTGTTGGCAACCCCAGCAATGACCCAGCTCCCCTCTTCACCCTGGCAGCAGGCGCTTGGAGCTGTACAAGCCCAGTGGATAAGCAAGGGGTTGGGGAGGGAATCTGTTCCCCCACAAGGGATCTTGAAAATGGCCCCCAAACGTCACACGTCTCCCCCACCTCTCCTGCCGGGTGGTTCTTACTAGCTAGTGTTTGTTTGGCAGGAGATGGCAGCATGATGGAGCAGCTGCATGTGCCCCTCGGTGCCACCGCTGTGGGTCCGGCCTTCCCCCAGGGGGATGTCCTGGCAACCCAGTTCCTGGAGGCCGAGCTGGAGCAGAATGTGCGTCTCAGGGAGCTCTCCTTCCTCGACCCCGTCCGCTACATCTACAACCCTTTGGAATACGCCTGGGAGCCCCACGAGGACTACGTGAGGAGATATTGCCGTTCCCCCAAAGAGGTGCTTTTCCTCGGCATGAACCCCGGCCCCTTCGGGATGGCACAGACCGGGGTAAGGCAGCCTGCCCCACAGGGTGCACCTGGGCAAGGGGGGGCGAATGGGAAGGTGAGGATTGGGAGCAACGACTGTGGGTAACGTCCCAGCCCCATTGGGCATTTGCCCCTTGATTTCAGTGGGGCCAGGAACTCGCCCCGGGTTGTTATGGGCCCTAGAGCCCCTTAAGGCTTTAGGCAAGACCAGTCTCTCCACATTCAAACTGGAATCTTGTGGGCAGGGGGAGAATTGGGACGTGTCTTGAGTTGCATGGTGGGTGCATTGGAAGTGCCCATGAGATGCTCCTGTACCTACTGACCACAGCCAGTGTCGGGTGATTGCTCGGGGGGGGGGGGATGAGACCTCGCACATTTGCACCAATGGGCCAAATACCCAGTGGGTATCAATCGGCCATAGCTCCATGGAAATCAATGGGGCCAGACCCCCACAAGTGTCAATCAGCCGTAGCTCCATGGAGTCAAATAACGTTAGTATGTGCATTATAGCAGAGCCTAGAAGCCCCAACCAAGATCTGGATGTCCGCCCGGTGCTGCGCGTACACATAACGGGAGGCCGTCCCTGCTCCATGGAGCTCACGATCTACATATATAAAGAGCGGGAGGGGAAACTGAGGCATGGAGGGGGACTTGCCCAAGGTCACATGGCAGAGCTGGGAATAGAACCCAGGTGTCCTGGTCCAGTGCTGTACCCTTTGGACCATGACACATTTTGACGATATACCTCTAGCCCCACACTGGGATAGCCCAGAGCAGTAGCCCAGAAGCTTGCTTTGTTCAGTGGCTGCAGCTGGGAGCCGTGAGCCGCTTGATTGATACGATGCAGCTGGTTAATATTAATGACATTAATTCGGGGAGTAATTAGGCGCCTGCACTGCAGCAGGATCTCCCGCTCGTTAATGCTCATCTGCCCAAAGAGCTGCAGCTCCCTCAAGTGTTGCTTGTATAGCAGGCTCTAACATCCTGGTTCCCTGTGCCCAGGCGGGACCAGTGTTCCCTGCCGCCTCCCCTAATGTTTGACTGGTCGGGGGCCGTGCAGATCCACTCCTGGCCGTGCAGATCCACTCCTGCTTTGATGCCATGCCAGGAAGCGGAGGCCACATTTCAGAGCAGAGCGGAAAGCTGCTGTCAGAGTTCAGGGCTTGCGAAGATATTGCAAAGCGCGAGTGCATGCAGTTTCTGGTCTAAAGAGCTCCCAATCTAAATGCAGCCACCTCTGGGGTGGGATGCAGCAGCTGTTTAACAGCAGCACTTTAGGAAAGGAAGTGAAGAAGGACCCTTTGTCCATACGAAGCTGCAGGGAGGGATTTTAAGGTAACAAGAATAATGGAGTTTGACCAGGAAAACCATGTCACAGGAGGATCATGGGTAACACCTTAGCCCTGCTGTCACCCAGGGGTCTGTCCAGCCAGCTCCCTCCCAGTCCCAGCTCTAGGGCCTGATCCGGCCTGTACGACACTCAGGATCTCAGTGGGTATTTAAATAGAAGGGTGGCCAGTTTATCCAAGTGACTGGCAGAGGGGGAGAGGCAGCACCCTGTGACTACTTCTTCCCCCCCACCCACTTACCCATAGTTGAATCCATTTGCAGAGGGCCAGAAAATGGGAGAGGAGCCCATGTCTCGCTCACTGGATGATGTGAGGGGACGGGAGAGCAAGATGGAGACCCCCTCCCCAAAGCCTCTTCTCCCCTCCCGGTGGCTGACAGCTGCTCCATCACTGATCCCCTCTGACAGCCCCTGGTCCTGGGGTCAGAGGTCAAAGGATCAGCTAAACAAATCATTCAATAATGCGCTTTAATTTATATTGGGGGGTTGGGGAGGGGGATGTCTCCCGCCAAGCTGCATTTGTCCAGCTGCTAATTGGCAGATCTGGCAAGCAGGGGTGAGGGGAGGCATTATCTTGACATTAGACCCAGGGGCAATCGATAGACTGGGGAGGGCGGGGGAGGGGGTGTTTTGTGGGGGCTGGGGGCTGCAGAGGGCGAGATTGGCTTCTCCTGAAATACTGTTACAGATCATGGCAGCGCAGGGCCAGGACCACGAGGGCCGCTGCGGCAGGACCCCAGCACTGGGAGAGGGTGGGACCCCATGGTATTTTGTATCAATTAAACTTGGGGGCAGGGGGGTTGACGAATAATGCAGCAGCCGGCTTCATTTGGCCGTGGTGTCTTTGTCCATGGTTCCTTTCTGGGGGCCAGCAGGGTTGGGAGTCTGTGGGTGGTGGCAGCAGATCTGTAGCCAGGGTGAGTGCTGGGGGCTGTGGGTTAGGATTCTTCCACCCCCTTGTGATGCTATTGCCCCCGTCTATTGCACTCAGCCCTTGTTCCCAGCTTTCCCAATCCCCCTTCTGCCTCCAGAAACCACATCTGGGCATCTTCCCTCGACTCCATCTTCCTCCCTTCCGATCCCCTGCCATGCTAGCCCCTCCCCGGTGTGGCTTCCCCTGTCTGGCTCTCGGGGCAGCCTCCTTTTAACAAGGAGTCTGTGTGCACTTTGGGGGTGAGGAAGCATGGCACAGTGGTTAGGGCACCAGCCTAGGATGCAGGAGATGTGGGGTCAAATCCTTCTTCTGCTACAGACTTCCCTGTGTGAGCTTGGGCAAGTCCCTTAGCCTCAGTTGCCCAGATGCGGATAATAGTCCTGCCAGGGGGCTGTGTGTGTAAATACATCTGAAATTTTGAGGCGCTCAGAGGCTGTGGTGATGGAGGCCTGAGATAGATAGCAACTCTCATGCTCCAGGGAGAAGGCTGGTTGTAGGAGTCAGGAAGGTTTTGTTTTTCCTACCACGCCAGGGCCAGATCCACAGCTCCCAGTGTGATGCTCGTACCCAGATCCTCCAAAGAGCTCAGCTCCTGACATGCCGCGTGCTTGAAGATCTCGCACTTGTTAGCTCTGAGCCTCCCCCGGGGGCCAACTCGGGGTCAGATCCCGTACTGTCTGCCCCAGTCTCCTCCTTCCCCTTCCTCCACCCAACGTAGATGCTTCCAGCCTTTGTGCTCCTTCTCTGCTCCCTTTCCAAATAACCTCCATCCCATGGGCTGTGTGTGTGTGTGTCAGGGAGCAGAGCCACCATGCCCCTCGCGGGTGACCAGATGGCAGTGGGCTGAGTGCAGCCTCTGACCTCCAGGGTGCAGGTCTGGCCTGGTGGCCCGTGTGAAATGAACTGAGGGCCGAGGTGGCTGCACCATCTAATGCACCATGCTAGTGGGCGCTGACTGGCTGCCTCCTTGCCCATCTCAGCAGAGTCAAAGGTTGGACTGGGCTTTAACTGCCCTCCGGCCACAGGTGGACGGCAGCCGCAGCCCACGAATGGTGCGTCTGTGTGCGTAGCTTGCTCCGCTGCTCTCTGAGCTGTGCACTCCAGCCCCCAGAGCTGGCTACCTGGCGGCCACTAAATTCTCATTAAGGAGAAAATAACCAGGATCCTCTACAGAACCCTGCACCAGCAGAGACCAGCGAGTGCCTTGTATGGGGAAATCGTGGCCTCTTGTGTCTCCTCTCACACCCCCCCACGCTCCGCAGCTCTGCTAACATAGCCCAGTCTCTCTTCTCTGCAGCTGGGTCCCCGCTGACCCCCATCCTTCATGGCCTAGCGTGTCACCCCTCAATGCGGGCGGCATGAGGGGGGAAGCTCTACGGCTCCAATATGGTAACAGTTCCCCCCGTTTCCCCTCTGATCTCTGCCTGCAAATCTCTCTCTTCCCCGCACTCATCTCCAGCCAGATGCAGCCTCTACAGGCTCTTTCCTGCCCCATTGGCCTGACGCTGATGGGCTGCTCCCTGCAGGGAGCCGGGTGCTCAGTCCCAACGGTCCTAAGGCAGCTTCTCCGTGTCAGGTCCCATCCAGCAGAGAGCATTTGGGTTCCTTTTGGGCGAGTGTATGGGGTGGGGGATATGATGGGGGGCGGGGGGTGGCATCTCTGCTGAGGCTGCTGGCAAGGGGGACCGGCTGGGATGGAGGCCCCTGGCAGTGGATTTTTAGAGGTCCAGTGGCTACAGATCCGCTGCCCCTCCCCACAACTCCCATCGGCCTGAGCAACTGCAAATGAACCCGCCAGGATCTGGAGTGCGGCTCCCGGGTCCCGAGCTGCCTCCTCCTGGGAACCTGGACTGAATCCGAACCCGGTCAGGTCCCAGTGGTGGAATGCTCTGCATCCCAATGGCACTCCCCAGGGGCCGGCACAGCCCCTCCATGCCCCACTTCATTAGCCTTTCAGCTAGCTGCAAAGGGTCCAGGTTGTTGTTGGCCCCAGGTGACATAAGTTTGCTGGCAGCTGCCTGGGAGTCTCCACTTAAGAACTCTTGAGGACTGGCACAGAGGGAGGCAGGGGGCTGCAGGTCAGGATTGAGTGGCATCGGCAGAACTGGGGGGAGCCCAAGGCTGGAATAGCATGAGGCTGTGGATTGGGATTGTGGGGCACCAGAAGAGTGGGGGCGGGAGGGAGGAAGCCCAGAGCTGGGGTAGCAGGAGGCTGAAGATTGGCATTGAGGGGCACTGGCAGAGCGGGGGGAGAGGTGGGGAAGCCCAGAGCTGGGGTAGCAGGGGGCTGCGGGTCAGGATTTAGGGGCATCGGTAGAGCTGAGTGTGATTCTCACTCTCTCCCCATCTGGCCCATCAGTAAACAGCCTGCATTATTATTTTGGGGGGTGGTCCTGGGGGAGGGTACCCCTGGTGGTGAGGGGGTGGGGGGCTACCAGCAGCTTGAGGTTCAGTGGGGAGAGATAAATCCTGCCCTGTGGGATTGACTCCTGTTACCTCCTTATTGGGAGTGGGGTAATTGTACCAAGTCTCCCCTCCCCAGTCCTGCATGGGGGGCTCTCGGGCAAGTGGGGCACCCAGTCAGTCCCAGGCATTGGCCTGTGTCTGTGTTAGGACGGAGAAGGGTGATGCAATGTCTCCTCCCTGCCCCTTCTGCGGTGGCATCAATTCTCTGTGGCTGTTGTACAGCGGGATCCTAATGCCAGCCTGTTAGAGATGGGGCCACTTCCTACCAGGGAGTGCTTCCTTCCTCTGCCTGGCTGCATAACTGGTGGTGGTGAGGGGGGAGAGGGGGGAGGAGGGGCAGAGAAGAGCCCTGGCTGCTTGCTCAGGCCTGGCAGGGATGGCTCTGGGGATGGGGCCATGCAGATCTTCCATGGGGGGCTGTTTGCTGGGGCAGAGGGTTTGCGGGTGGGGGCTTGGTTGTCTCTGCTTTTTCTGACCAAGTGGGTAAAGGGGAGAGGGGTTAGATAAAGTGGGCTGGGAGTCAGGGCTCCTGTGTTCAGTTCCCAGCTCTCAGAGGAGACTGGGGTCCAGTGGTTAGAGCAGGGGTGGGGAATTTTGAGCCAGGAATCCTGGGCTCCATTCCAAGGACTAGAATAAAATAAGTGTTGTTTTTAGACAATGTTTGTATAGCAGCAGTGGCCAGAGGCCCAGATCCAGAATGGGGACTCAACCATCCCAGCATGCTGGCCACTGCACAGACTGAGAGATAGCCCTCCCCAAAGAGCTTGCACTCTGAATAGACAAAGGGTGGGAGGGGAAACTGAGGCACAGAGCAGGGGGAATGATTTGCCCTAGGTTATCCAGCAGGCCAATGGCAGAGACGGGACCAGCACACAACTCTCCTAACGTGATGCTTTAGCCACTAGGCCACACTGCCTCCCATGGTGTCTACCTCCTTTGGCTTCCCTGGGGCTCTTGGCTTTAGCCCATCAATGGCTGTGGCTCCGGCTCCATGGCTCCCCCGATGGAGGAGGTGGGGTCTTGCTGGTCAGGCACCTCTCTGACTCTGCTCTTGTTCCCCCACAGGTGCCCTTTGGGGAGGTGCGCCACGTCCGGGAGTGGCTGCAGATCCGCGGGCAGGTGTCTAAGCCAGCCCAGGAGCACCCCAAGAGACCTGTCCTGGGGCTGGAGTGCCCCCAGACAGAGGTGAGCGGTGCCCGCTTCTGGGGCCTCTTCCGCTCGCTGTGCCCTGAGCCTGAGGCCTTCTTCCGCCGCTGCTTCGTCCACAACCACTGCCCGCTGCTCTTCATGAGCCAGAGCGGCAAGAACCTGACGCCAGCCGACCTGCCGGCTGCCCAGCGTGAGCGCCTGCTGCAGGTCTGCGACGACGGGCTGGCCCAGGCCGTGCGCCTGCTCAGTGTTGCCATGGTGATCGGCGTGGGCCGCTTCGCCGAGCAGCGGGCCCGCAAGGCCCTGACCTCGGCTGGCCTCCAGGTTCGGGTGGAAGGCCTGATGCACCCCTCGCCCCGCAACCCCCTGGCCAACAGGGGCTGGGAGGCCATTGCCAAGGCCAGGCTAGAGGAGCTGTGTGTCCTGCCCCTGCTGATGGGCTGAGCCTGGGGCAGGGAGGGCACCCCCTGCTGAAGACACTCACTGGGTCTCATTCATGGCTGATGCTCCTGGCCACCTAGGACATACAGTTCTATTGCCGTAGCCGCTGACTAATGGATAACAGGAGCCCTGTCCTGAAGGCTGGGGCTTCCTGCACCAACACTACCTCCCCATACCACCACCTGGGATCTTGTTAACCCACATCTACATCCCCCATAGGGGACTACAGAGGGGTGGCCTTGGGTTCTGCTCTCAACTGGTGTCTGATGGAGACAAGGACTGCAGCCTTCAGATCCTCACGGGGTGGGGGTTTGGTTCAGGCCTGTCTTCAGTTCTGCCACCTGCTGTGGCCGGGACCAATCCTGGTTGGAAGGGCAAGTCAGATCCTTCCACCCCCGCCTTGTTAGAAACCAGTTTGGTTCCCATGCCGCTCGGCCCCCTTAACACTGAGATGAGCTGGTGGTTGACATCAGGAGGCAGCTTGGAGTTCTGACCAATTTACACCAGCCCAGATCCACCCTCTGGTGTCCTGTTGTGATGGGATCCCTGGGGTACGACCTGGAACTGTGGGACTGCTGTGCCCCCTTAACCATGTTTTGCCAAACCCCTCCAGGAGCTGTTATCATTCAGCATCAGCATGCAGGGACACACTCAGCTAAGTTGCATGAATGGTCTCCAAGCCACTCCTGAACTATGCAGAGTGAAACACCAGCACATCTCCCAAGCCCTCAGCCTTGTACCCCAGAAATATACTGTCTTACACTGCTCAAGACCTATTCTTGAACCGTGCAAGCTCATTAATTAGTTTACCCCTTCGTCAAAGGATAGGGGACATTCACCAGCCTTTGTAATCTGAGCAGATTCCCCAAGCACTTTAGACAAACTCATTGCTAAGGATAAAATATTAAAATAAAATCTATCTTCCTATAGTTAATAAACTTGCGTGATTATCAGTGTTTAGGCCCAGAGGTCAAAGTGGGTTACATAAGAAATAAAAATAGACTTGCAGTCTAAATTCTAACTTGAACAGACAAAGAAAGATTTACATCAAACAGTTTTTCTTACCCCCCTGGATGTTGCAGGTAGGTTACAGTTCTTAATACACAGACTGGATCTCTCTGTCAGCCTGGGACAAGTCTCCTCAGTTCAAAGCCTTTGTCTTCCCAGCATTCTTATTTCTTTCAGTGTAGGTAGGGGAGGAGAGAGGACAAATGATGATGTCACTGTCCCTTTTTTAATACTTTCTTCCAGGTGCTAGAAAGATCCTTGCTGTGACATGGGGGTTAGGCAGCTCCCATTGGGTATGTGGCCTCTCTGAGGAGTCTCAGAGATGAATTCTTCTTGATGGCTCCATCAACACATGTCTGGCTGGTCCTGATGTAAATCTGTCTTGTCAGTTGTTCCTTTGTTGCCGCTGAAAGGCCAGCTGTGGGCGTTTCCCACTTACCACGTATCTCAGTTGTGATGTTGCCCCCCGTAATGCTTTATGGAAATATGCTTATGAATGTATTTGTGACATAACAGGAATCAGGACCAGGATGGGAAAGAGGGGTAGCCCCGGAGACCTGCCTGGATATCCCCTCTATTTTGTTTTATTTGCCTCTCTCTGCATCCATGGACATATACCCGCAAGAGAGAACAGGAGGGGAAGCCCGTACGTGTGGATTGCACTATAAGTCCAATAGCTTCCACTACTTTGCGTCTGCCGCAGATCCCAGACATTGTGCCTTCGAGCACGCGTCTCCCCATCAGTGCCCAGTGCGGGACATCCCCATGTTGCCCAGGTAGGTGCGGGAGCCTGAAAGGAGGCCTGCCCAGCACCTCCACAGCACAGCAGGTGGAGTGGATGACCAACAGCAGAGGGTTCTCCCATGAGGGGCATCTCAGTGCTAACGCGCGGCCTTTCGTCATTAGCCAGGCGCATTTCCAGGAGCCATTCTGCCCCTCCTTGCCACGAGCCAGGCTCTGCCACTCTCGCTCCTCTCAGGTGGTACTTTAAAGCAGGAATAATCCCGCTGAGGCCACTTGGGGAGCACGGTAAGCGTCAGTATAAAAACCTGGCCCCGTGTGGTTTACATTGAACCTGCTTGTGGCTTTCCTGTCTCCTTGCTGAGAATTGCTCTGTGCCAGAACTGGTCGCAGTGCGTATGTCTACACTACACACTAAGCTTGGGTTCCGACTCAGGTTTGAGCCCAAGCCCCCACTTCTGTCCACACACAAATCAGTCTGACCCAGGTCAACAAGCACTCAGGACCCAAGTCCTAGGACCCTGCTAGGTGGGTGGCTCAGGGCCCAAGCCCTGCTGAGACTTGGGTCCAAGCCCTGTCGTTTTGCAATGTGGACACAGTTCAAGCCACAGACTTGAGTCAGAAGAACATGTTAGAACGACTGTGAGATGCGGGTCCAGCAATTGTAAACCCAGTTTTGACACTGCAGGGTGGACTCTCTCCGAGTCCACAAGGGTAGTGATCAATGGCTCCATGTCTAGATGGCAGCCAGTATCAAGTGGAGTGCCCCAGGGGTCAGTCCTGGGGCCGGTTTTGTTCAATATCTTCATAAATGATCTGGAGGATGGTGTGGATTGCACCCTCAGCAAATTTGCGGATGATACTAAACTAGGAGGAATGGTAGATACGGTGGCAGGTAGGGATAGGATACAGAGGGACCTAGACAAATTGGAGGATTAGGCCAAAAGAAATCTGATGAGGTTCAACAAGGATAAGTGCAGGGTCCTGCACTTAGGACGGAAGAATCCAATGCACCGCTACAGACTAGGGATCGAATGGCTCGGCAGCAGTTCTGCGGAAAAGGACCTAGGGGTGACAGTGGACGAGAAGCTGGATATGAGTCAACAGTGTGCCCTTGTTGCCAAGAAGGCCAATGGCATTTTGGGATGTATAAGTAGGGGGATAGCCAGCAGATCGAGGGACGTGATCGTCCCCCTCTATTCGACATTGTTGAGGCCTCATCTGGAGTACTGTGTCCAGTTTTGGGCCCCACACTACAAGAAGGATGTGGAAAAATTGGAGAGAGTCCAGCGAAGGGCAACAAAAATGATTAGGGGTCTGGAACACATGACTTATGAGGAGAGGCTGAGGGAACTGGGATTGTTTAGTCTGCAGAAGAGAAGAATGAGGGGGGATTTGATAGCTGCTTTCAACTACCTGAAAGGGGGTTCCAAAGAGGATGGTTCTAGACTATTCTCAGTGGTAGAAGATGACAGGACAAGGAGTAATGGTCTCAAGTTGCAGTGGGGGAGGTTTAGGTTGGATATTAGGAAAAACTTTTTCACTAGGAGGGTGGTGAAACACTGGAATGCGTTACCTAGGGAGGTGGTAGAATCTCCTTCCTTAGAAGTTTTTAAGGTCAGGCTTGACAAAGCCCTGGCTGAGATGATTTAATTGGGGATTGGTCCTGCTTTGAGCAGGGGGTTGGACTAGATGACCTCCTGAGGTCCCTTCCAACCCTGATATTCTATGATTCTATGTTTCATGCTACATATTCCATGTAACGTATCTCTGCAAAGGTTATGATCTACTGAATATATTCATCCTATTTGTATGCATGTATCACTTTTATATTCGAAGTTATGCATATTGGTTGTGTACTTGTTTGATTTTAAGTAGCCTTAGTAAGGCATTTGGTCAGCTTCTTAAGAAAGGAATTTGCAAGTTAAGTGCCCAATCAAGAAACACTTAATGGACAATGGAACCTTGGAAGACCGCAATCTACATAAGAAGTCTACCTGGGGATGTTCAAAGTAGCATGTGAACAATGGCTGCCACCTGTAAAGTTCTGAGTCATGCATAGACATGTGACTTGCCTATGTGACTCCAAAACTCCAGCTTGCAGCTGGATTCTGCATAGGAGAGAGGAGTGGGTCTCCACCCACAAGAGAGAGTCTATTTAAGCCCCTGGGAGACCCCTCCATTTTGTCTTCAGCTGGCTCAAGAGAGAGTCTCTTCACCCCCAAGGATACCTGAACGAAACTGGAACAAAGGACAGTAACTACAGGGGGTGTGAGTGATTGCTGGACCCAGACTAGAAGGAGACTAGTCTGTAAAAGAATCTTACTGGAACATCTCTGAAGGTGAGATTTCATCTGCAATCACTTTCCTACTGTATTAGGCTTAGACTTGCATGTTTTATTTTATTTTGCGTGGTAATTCACTTTCTTCTGTCTGTTATTACATGGAACCACTTAAATCCTACTTTTTATATTTAATAAAATCACTTTTTACTTATTTATTAACCCAGAGTATGTATTAATACCTGGCGGGGGGAGGGGGGTGCAAACAGCTGTACATATCTCTCTATCAGTGTTATAGAAGGTGAACAATTTCTGAGTTTACCCTGTATAAGCTTTATACAGGGTAAAACGGATTTATTGGGGGTTTGGACCCCATTGGGAGCTGGGCATTTGGGTGTTGGAAACAGGAACACTTCTTAAGCTATTTTCAGTTAAGCCTGCAGCTTTTGGGGGACGTTGTTCAGACCTGGGTCTGTGTTTGTAGCAGGCTAGCGTGTCTGGCTCGAATGAGGCAGGGCACTGAAGTTCCAAGCTGGCAGGGAAAATGGGCTCAGAGGTAGTCTAGGCACATCAGTTGGCAGTTCCCAAGGGGTGTTCTGTGATCCAACCCGTCACGTCAGTATTGATCATAGAGCAATACTTCACAACTTCCTATACAATGATCGTACATACAGTTCAGCATGGTAGTAGTGTTCAGTGGCTTAAGACTCTTTAAGTGATACCTCACAAGACAGACTTTGTACCAAACATATAATCATATCACAGTGGTGAATATGGGTGTTCCAGGGTGCTACAGAGTGACACACCTGTCCAGCACCCTCTTTTGACCTTACCAGCCCAGCCCAGAATGTGGTCATAGCCTGACGTCCAGCACCAGACATGTGCTGATCATTGACTGGATGCCGAATCCAGTTTGGCACTTGTCTGCCAATCCTAGGTCTTGGGTGTCATCGTAACCCACTGATGAGTGTGTGTTACAGGGTCTTCTCTGTGCTGATGCACAATGGATGTGAGTTGTTACAGCCCGTTCCCCTGTAGAGACTTGGCTCAAGCTGTAGTGGTTTACACTGTTAGCTCTGGGGGTCCCTGATTCAATCCCTCATGCGTTGGTCAAGAGGGTGGCTATCATCTTAGCATTCCCAGATGCAGCCCTGTGTTGCTGGGTTTGAAGTCTGAGTGAGAGTGAGACTAAATGCACTCTAATCTTTTGGAGTCTGTACATCAAAGATTTTTGAGATGCAGGGTTTGGGTTCTGGGCTGCTTCTGTTTTTGTTGGATTTTTAGAGAGGCAATAAAATTAATAAAAAGAAAAAAATCAGGGTAAAAGCGAAGCGCACTAAAATGCGAAATTGGCAAAAAACAAAAACAGCCAACTCCCTCCAGGGCTAATCCTTCAGGCAGAAATGGGCAAAACAAAGGATAGAAAAACTATTTCATGGAAGGATATCTCAATGATTATGGTGCTAGCCTGGTACATGGAAGAGCTAGGTTCAGTGCTCTGCCACAGACTCCCTGTGTGACATTGAGTTAGTCACTTAGCCTCTTTGTGCCTCAGTTTCCCCATCTGTGCAATAGGGGTAATAGCACTGCTATGCTTTAAAGGGGTGTGTGTGAGGATAAATGCATTGAAGATTGTGAGGTGCTCAGATGTTATGGTAATGAGGGGCCACATAAGTACTGTAGATGGAGCTGAATTTCCCAAATTTAATAGGAATTGGAGATTCCAAACGCAGCCTAAAAAGTTCTTTTTTCAACCTTTTCTGTGGCAAAATTCCCCTTGACTTCATAGCATCATAGAAGGTTAGGGCTGGAAGAGCCCTCAGGAGGTCATATAGTACAACCCCCTGCTCAAAGCAGGACCAATTCCAACTAAATCATCCCAGCAGGGGTTTGTCAAGCCGGGCCTTAAAAACTTCTGTCAGAAATATAAAGGGAAGGGTAACCACCTTTCTGTATACAGTGCTATAAAATCCCTCCTGGCCAGAGGCAACATCCTGTTACCTGTAAAGGGTTAAGAAGCTCAGCTAACCTGGCTGGCACCTGACCCAAAGGACCAATAAGGGGACAAGATACTTTCAAATCTTGTGGGGGGGAAGGCTTTTGTTTTGTGCTCTTTGTTTACCTGGTTGTTCTCTCTTGGGACTGAGAGGCCAGACAGAAATCCATCTTCTCCAACCCATCCTAATCCAAGTCTCCAATATTGCAACCAGTATAGGTAAACCAGGCAAGGCGGATTAGTTTATCTTTTGTTTTATGTGAATTTTCCCTGTGTTAAGAGGGAGGTTTATTCCTGTTTTCTGTAACTTTAAGGTTTTGCCCAGAGGGGGATCCTCTGTGTTTTGAATCTGAATATCCTGTAAAGTATTTTCCATCCTGATTTTACAGAGTTGATTTTTTACCTTTCTTTTTTTTAATAAAACCCTTCTTTTAAGAACCTTGATTTTTCCATTGTTCCAAGATCCAGGGTTTTGGGTCTTTGATGATTTTGTAACCAATTGGTTAGGATATAATTCTCAAGCCTTCCCAGGAAAGGGGGTGTGTAGGGCTTGTGGGGATATTTTGGGGGAAGACTTCTCCAAGTGGGCTCTTTCCCTGTTCTTTGTTTAAAATGCTTGGTGGTGGCAGCATACGGTTCAAGGACAAGGCAAAGTTTGCATCTTGGGGAAGTTTTTAACCTAAGCTGGTAAGAATAAGCTTAGGGGGTCTTTCATACGGATCCCCACATCTGTACCCTGACGACCTCTTATGATGGAGATTCCACCACTTCCCTAGGTAACCCATTCCAGTGCTTCACCACCCTCCTAGTGAAATAGTGTTTCCTAATATCCAACCTAGACCTCCCCCACTGCCACTTAAGACCATTGCTCCTTGTTCTGTCACCTACCACCACTGAGAACAGCTGAGCTCCATCCTCTTTGGAACCCCCCTTCAGGTAGCTGAAGGCTGCTATCAAATCCTCCCTCATTCTTCTCTTCTGCAGACTAAATAACCCCAGCACCCTCAGCCTCTCCTCGTAAGTCATGTGCCCCAGCCCCCTAATCATTTTTGTTGCCTTCTGCTGGACTTTCTCCAATTTGTCCACATCCTTTCCATAGTGGGGGGCCAAAAACTGGATGCAAGACTCCAGATGTGGCCTCACCAGTGCTGAATAGAGGGGAATAATCACTCCCCTCGATCTGCTGGCAATGCTGCTACTAATGCAGCCCAATATGTCATTAACCTTCTTGGCAACAAGGCACACTGCTGACTCATATCCAGCTTCTCATCCACTGTCACCCCCAGTTCCTTTTCTGCAGAACTGCTGCCTAGCCACTCGGTCCCTAGTCTGTAGCGGTGCATGGGATTCTTCCGTCCTAAGTGCGGGACTCTGCACTTGTCCTTGTTGAACCTCATCAGATTTCTTTTGGCTCAATCCTCCAGTTTGTCTAGGTCACTCTGGACCCTTCCCTACCCTCCAGCATATCTACGTCTCCCCTCAGTTTAGTGTCATCTGCGAACTTGCTAAGGATGCAATCCACCCCATCCTCCAGATCATTAATGAAGATGTTGAACAAAACCGGCCCCAGGACCGACCCCTGGGGCACTCCACTTGGGGTCGGTCCTGGGGCCCTTTTTGTAGAGTTTGCTGGGGTGCTAACAGCAAAGGTGGATTTGACGCCCTTAGAAGTGGTCTGAAAGCAGGGGAAAATAGGGTGGTGCCCCTCCCCCCTTGTTTTGGCAGATGACGCAGGTTTTTATTTTAAAATAAGTCTTATTCCCTGCTTGTTAGTGCATTAACAAGTCAGTTCTTGCCTGTACTCCTGTTCCTCCCGGAAGTCTCTGTGGCAGGTTGGGGAGCTGTGTGACTCCAGACATGCCACACATGTGAAACCTTGATTGATTGGGAGGGGAAGCAGTTTTGCTTTTTTTAATGCACCTTTAATTTTTTTGGTTTGCTTTTCTCCAGACTTATTTAGCTCAAACGCCCAAGGAGTGTTTGGGAGAAAAGATGTGTCTGTTAAAGACAGGTTTCAGAGGAGCAGCCATGTTAGTCTGTGTCCGCACAAAGAACAGGAGGACTTGTGGCACCTTAGAGACTAACAAATTTATTAGAGCATAAGCTTTCGTGGGCTACAGCCCACTTCATCGAATGCATAGAATGGAACATATAGTAAGAAGATATATATACATACAAAGAAGGTGGAAGTTGCCATACAAACTGTAAGAGGCTAATTAATTAAGATGAGATGTTAAAGATGCCATTCAGAAAGCTCCCAATTCACCTCTCCAAGTCATAAAATCATAGAATATCAGGGTTGGAAGGGACCTCAGGAGGTCATCTAGTTCACCCCCCTGCTCAAAGCAAGACCAATCCCCAACTAAATCAAAAGGAATGATCACACTGGACATCTGGAGATAGCCAGCAGAGGTGGGTGTCTGTGTGTATGGGGGAAACACATTCAGTCCTTTATAGGGGCAAAGGCCTGTTTTATTTCCCATTCCAAGTCTCCTTTTAAAGGAAGCAGAGACAGTTCCTTGCACTCAGGTTCCCCGCCCTCATTTCTCCCAAGTCAGCGTGCAATACATGAAAGATCTCCACTGGGGAAATTTGTATCCTCTACTTCCTTGACCTGTGTGTATGCCGGGGGGAGAGGGAAAGTATAATTTTCTGGAGAAAGGTGCCCTCCACGCCTTCCCCCACCCGTTGCCTTTGAAGGATTAGCTGCGAGCTGCACATGAGCCGGCTGCGGTGCAGATCGGAGGTTTATTCCAATCCAGGAGTGTAAACATCTCTCCACTTAATAACATTTTCCAAGCTGTAATGTTGCAAATAACTCAGTGCTAAGTGCCGCTGCGCCTCTGTCTCTGGACCTTTAAGTGCTGTCAAGGCCTGGTGATGGATGGCCCGAAGCGGAGTGGACAAAAGCAATCTGCACTATCCTGCTAACTTAATTCGCAGCCGGGGATCTGCTGGCGCAGCCGCTTAAGGATTCACATAACTTGTGGGATGCCGGATGCTTCTCCACGCTGCCTGGGGTGTCAAATCAAACTTGGGGCTTTTGCTCAAAGGGGAGTGGGGGACTTGGGACAGGCATGGCTTGCTGAACAGAGCCAAGTCCCATTCTGGGAGTCTGACACCCCCTTGCTAGCCCCCCGCAGTGGTAGAGGAAGCTTCCTCTGTTAAGCTACCTTCCTCTGTATGTGGCTTGTGGGTAGGGCACCAGATTGGACCTCAGGGCACA